AGTATTATATGTGAATCTTCATAGATGACAAATGATGGCTTCATTCACTCCCTCATTCACTTTTTTTTTTCCCTGAGATGGAGTCTCACTCTGTTGCCTGGGCTGGAGTGCAGTGGCGGGATCTCGGCTCACTGCAACCTCCACCACGAATCTGTACGGCGGACAAATCTAGGAGATGCTGCAGCAGAGTTCTTTTTTTTTTTTTTTTCCTAATGAGACAGTCTCACTCTGTTGCCCAGGCTGGAGTGCAATGGCGTGATCGCGGCTCACTGCAACCTCTGCCTCCCAGGCTCAAGCGACTCTCTTGCCTCAGCCTCCTGAGTAGCTGGGATTATAGGCATGCACCACCACAGCCAGCTAATTTTTGTATTTTTAGTAGAGACAAGGTTTCACCATGTTGGCCAGGCTGGTCTCGAACTCCTGACCTCAAGTGATCCACCCGCCTTGGCCTCCCAAAGTGCTAGGATTACAGGCATGAGCCACCACAACTGGCCCACTGCAACAAAATTCTGTGGAGAAGTATCTGACAGTGTAAGACTAAGATTTACTCTCCTGGGGAATCAATGGGAGAGAGTTAATGTATGTTGTGATACTAATGTGTTAACAGTAATCTTGGTTTGGGGCAGAATTTTTCCGTTTGTTTGTTTGTTTGTTTGTTTTGAGACAAGATCTCTTTTGCTCAGGTTGGAGTACAGTGGCGCTCTCATAGCTCACTGCTCCCTTGAACTTCTGGACTCAAGCAATCCTCCTGCCTTAGCCTTCCCAGTAGCTAGGACTATAGGTGCATGCCACCATGCCTGGCCTAAAGATAAAAATGTGACAGCTTCCCTTGGAGAAGAGAACATGGGTAATAACTTAGAATCTGCAGGTGAAGACAGTATTTATGACCAGACAAGAGGAGCCGGGAGGAAATTGATGTTGAAAAGTCAAGTGTACATTTAAACATCCCAGATGGGAGAAAAATCAAGTCTACACCAACATTGCTAAAGAAGAAAACAGAAAAGCCAAGACAGATCAGGTAAAAAATCTTCAGGCTGAGCAAACGTCGATTGAAAGTGCAGATCAAAATCTTCTGCAGAGAGGAAATGAAGTGACTGAACTTTGTCATGACAAAGCAGTGCAGTCTCTTGATAAATAATCTGTCTGGGAAGGTCATTATTGGAGCAAGAGGAGGAAATTTCTGAAGCAAATGCCAAGATAAGCATGTTATAAAGAGCTGACAACCTTCAGAAAGCAAGTCAAAGACTTTGTAGCAAAGCGCAACAGAATCATTTGTTCTTCTCAAAACCAAGTTATTTCCCTTGAACTAAAAGCTCATGATTGTTAGTTGAGAGTACAGGAGGCTGAAAGAAAGCTCCTCATCTCAAAACTAGAGATAGCAAAGATGAGATAAATAATAAAGAGGCTGGGCACAGTGGCTCACACCCGTAATCCCAGCACTTTGGGAGGCCGAGGTGGGTGGATCACCTAAGGTCAGGAGTTCAAGACCAGCCAAGCCAAAATGGCAAAACCCTGTCTCTACTGAAAATACAAAAATTAGCTGGGCATGGTGGTGCACACTTGCAGTCTCAGCTACTCAGGAGGCTGAGGCATGAGACTCGCTTGAACCCAGGAGGCAGAGGTTGCAGTGAGCCAAGATCATGCCGTTGCATTCCAGCCTGGGCAACAGAGCAAGATTCTGTCTCAAAAAAACAAAAACCAAAGAATAAAGGAAACAGTGATTAAACTTGAGCTTCTAGAAGTCCTTATTCATCTGATGATCCAGATGGAGTATTGTTCAGGGAATATTTTCACTGCTCCCCATCTCTAGACATGGGGTACCATTTCCTCTAGACGGGAGGCTCTCAACACCCTCCCCTCAGATCTCCTTGTCTGCCAGGCCTTCCTCCTTCATTCCCAAACCTGATGTTTCCAATTGATTCGAATGGGGAGTTAATGGAAGGAAGACATCCTCTTCTTCCCTGCATTAGTCAGGGCTCTCCGGAGCAACAGAAATAGTAGGAGATATATACATATATGAAGAGATTTATTTTAAGGGATTGGCTTATATGATTGAGGGGTTGGCAAGTCTAAAATCTGCAGAGCAAGCTGGAAACTCTCAGGCTGGGGCTGAGGCTATAGTTCAATCCACAGGCAGAATTTCTTCTTTCTCAGAGAAACCTGTTTTGCTTCTTAGACCCTTCAACTGATTGGTGAGGCCCACCAATTATCAAAGAGAATTTCCTTTACTTAACTTCAACTGATTGTGTAGGTCAACCAAATCTACACAATATTTTTTTACAGTAACACCTAGATTAGTGTGTTAGATTGAGTAACTGGGGACGGTAGCCTAGCCAGGTTAACACATAAAACTAACCATTACACTTCCTGGCTGGAGTGCAGTGGTGCACTCCATTTTCCAAGCTCAAGCGATCCTACCACCTCAGCCTCCTTCATAGTTGGGACCACAGGTGCATGCCACCACACCTTAGCCTTAAAAATAAGTTAGAAAATTACTGTATTAGTTTTAAAAACTTTTTACATCTCAACAACAAAAGCCAAATAACCCAATTAAAAAATGGACAAAAGATTAGAATAAACATTTCCCCAAAGAAGGTATACAAATGTCTAATAAGCACATGAAAAGATGATCAACATCATTGGTCATTAGGGCAATGCAAATAAAAACCACAACAAGAGAATACTTAAGACAGACAATAACAAGTGTTGGCTAGGACATGGAAATATCGGAACTCTTAGAGGTTGTTGATGGGAGTGTAAAATGGTGCAATCACTTTGGAAAATAATTTGACAGTTCCTCAAAATGTTAAACGTAGAGTTACCATATGATCCAGAAATTTCACACCCAAGAAAAAATAAAGCATATATATGTCCACAGAAAAATGTGTACACAAATGTTCACAGCAGTATTATAATAGCTAAAGAGTAGAAATCACCCAAATGTCTATCAACAAATGAACAGATAAATAAAACACGATATATCCATAAAATAGAATATTATTCATCAATAAGAAGGAATGGGCCAGGCGCAGTGGGTCACGCCTGTAATCCTAGCACTTTGGGAAGCTAAGGAAGGAGGGCTGCTGGAGCCTAGGAGTTGGAGACAAGCCTGGGCAACACAGCAAGACTCTGTCTCTATCAAAAATACAAAAATTAGCCAGGCATGGTAGCATGTGCCTGTAGTCTGAGCTACTTGGGAGGCTGAGGTGGGAGGATTGCTTGAGCCTGAGCCTGGGAGGTTGAGGCTACAGTAAGCTGAGATCTCACCACTGCACTCCAGCCTGGGTGACAGAGTAAGACTTTGTCTCAAAAAAAAAAAAACACAAAAAAAACAAGGAATGAAATACTGATAACATGCTACAACCTGGATGAACTTTGAAAACATTATGCTAAGTGAAAGAAGCCAGTCACAAAAGGTCGCATGCTGGATGAGTCCATTTATTTTTTAAAACTATTTATTTAGAAACGGGGTCTCACTCTGTCACCCAGTCTGGAGTACAGCAGTACAGTAACAGCTCACTATAACCTCAAACTCCTGGCCTCAAGAGATCCTCCTGCCTTTACCTCCCAAAGCACTAGGATTATAGGTTTGAGCCAACTGTGCCTGGCCCGTGATTCCATTTATATGAAATGGCCAGAATAGGCAAATCCGTACAGAAAGAAAGCAGATTAGTTTTGCCAGGGGCTGGGGAGAAGGCAGATTGGGAGTGACTGCTAAAGACTATAGGGTTTCTTTTCTTTTCTTTTCTCTTTTCTTTTCTTTTCTTTTCTTTTCTTTTCTTTTCTTTTCTTTTCTTTTCTTTTGAGACGGAGACTCGCTCTGTTGCCAGGCCTGGAATACAATGGTATGATCTTGGCTCACTGTAACCTCCACTTCTTGGGTTCAAGCGATTCTCCTGCCTCAGCCTCCCGAATAGCTAGGATTACAGGCATGCGCCATCATGCATGGCTAATTTTTGCATTTTTAGTAGAGACAGGGTTTCACCATGTTGGCCAGGTTGGTCTCAAACTCCTGACCTCAGGTGATCCACCCCCCACTTGGCCTCCCAAAGTGCTGGAATTACAGGCGTGAGCTACCATGTCTGGCCTAGGGTTTCTTTTTGGGGTGATAAAAATGCTCTGAAGACCGGCCGCGGTGACTCACGCCTGTAATCCCAGCACTTTGGGAGGCCAAGACAGGTGAATTACGAGATCAAGAGATTGAGACCATCCTGGTCAACATGGTGAAAACCCGTCTCTAAAAATATAAAAACTAGCTGGGCGTGGTGGCGCATGCTTGTAGTCCCAGCTACTCAGGAGGCTGAGGCAAGAGAATCACTTGAACCTGGGAGGTGGAGTTTGCAGTGAGCTGAGAACTTGCCACTGCACTCCAGCCTGGTGACAGGGCAAGACTCTGTCTAAAAAAAACCAAAAAACAAAAACCACTGAATTTGATACTTTAAAAGGGTGAATTTTATGGTAGGTGAATTATATCTCACTCAAATTATCATTTTAAAATATTTTCATAAGCACTTTTACTTTTGCTCAAATTGCATCTTGATAAAAACGTGAAGTTTTTTTAAATAAAGATAATATACCTTATTCTCATTATATTATACTCTCTAGAAAATGTAAGTAGTAAATTTGAATTTGATGAGCCAGTCCATTATTTCCTAAACAATGTATAATCTGTGGGCTGTTCTTTCACCAGGGACACTTGAAATGGCAAAATCTTTTCCTCTCTGCCAATGGTTCTGTGCACCACAGCCATAAAGAAATGTAAAAGTTACTTGTTGGCTTATTAGTCTCAATAAGTTTTAGTTGATTAAACAAACAGATAAAGTCTCACAGCCAGGACTGCTGCGGCTGGAATTGCTGACATACTGTCATACCTCTCACTGGTCAATTCACACTCTCCTCCCATCTACACAGCTCTGGAGATTAAAAACAATCCAACCATGACTATCATGGCTTCAGAGGTCTATGAACTCCCAGGAATGATATGCAGACTTTTTCCTGAGGAGAGCCTAAACTTTTTTATTGGTTTCTCAAAGAGGGTCACTGACCAACATTTAGAGACATGGGCCAAGTCCGGCTACATTTAGATTCCGTAGTGGTGTCTGGTTTTAGTTTGCCACGTCCTTTCTCCTTTTTCTTGTCATAGTGCCCGCTCTTTGGGAGGTGGGGGAAGAGTCTTCCCCTGAAGTCTTCACTGCTGCTGGAGAATCTTCCTTTTTCATCTGGTTGCTAAATCCGGAGAATGAAATCTAGGAGATGATTGCACCATCCCCGCCCCCTGACATGAAGGATGCCCCACTGCCCATTGGGGAGGGGAGCAGGGAGAGCTGGAGAGAGGCTGGGTCGGGGCAGGACCCAGGCGCAGATCCTCTGAGGCCAGCTGCAGCCCTGCCTGCCTGCCTTCCCCTTTCCCCTCCCTTCTTTCCTCCTTCTCTGTTTCCTTCCTTCCATATCTCTTTCCTTCCCTCTTTCCCCCTCCCACTCCTTCCTTTCTTCCTTCTCCTGTGGAGGTGGAAAATTTAGCTAGGACAAGCTGGGGCTGGGACGTTCCAGGAGCCAGAGACTGAGTGAAAGGCACAGAGATGAAAACGCGGTTTGGGAGAGCTGGTTCTTGGGTCGGCTAAGAGGGGATGAGCTCAGTGGTTAATAGGATTGGCCATGGCGAATCCCTCAGCAGGGCACGCACGGCACAAAGGGCCGAAGCGCGCGGGTAGCTCGAGGTCAGGATTACAGAGACTCAGGAGCAAGAGAGGAAGGCTTAAAGAGCCAGACTGCGCAGCCAGGACTGGGGTGATGGGCGCTGTACTGCCAGGCCGGAAAATGAAGATGTAGGCCCGCCCCCAACCTAGGGAGTACTACCGGCCCCGTTCGTGTCCTCCCCCGCAACCTCGACCCCATCCCACCCCAGGAACCTCGGCGAAGCTGAGCCAAGACCACTTCTGAACCAGGGATGACCAGTGAACCTAGGGTCAGAGCCATCAGTTGGAAAGGCTGAGAGGAGCCTTGAAAAAGAGGGCGACCTTCCTTGGGATCTGTCTGTGCACTCCCTCCTTGCCTCCCCCCTCCAGCCTCCCACTTGGTAGCACCTTCCTGATCCCCTTATCTCTAAGGCGCTCAGGGAAATGCCCCGCTACGGGAGCCTTCTGGGAAATGCTGCCCTTGCCGCCCAGGAACCATGAGCCCTGCAGCCCCGGTAAGGAAGAGTTCTCTGGGACAGGAGGAAGGGCCCAGGTCAGGGTGGGCACGCTTGCCACACAGGGAACGGGACAGAAGTCTTTTAGGCCCTGACAGCCTCTGGTCTCTGAATGACATCCTGTGGCTCCTGGTAGGTGAGGGTTTGCGGGGCTGAGCTATTGAAGGAAATGATCACAGTCCGAGGTGAGATACAGAAAGTCTTCCTTCTCCAGGTGGGCCCCCTCCAATCCATTCTTTACTGTGCCCTAGAGGGGACTTTACGACCCCCTAATCACACACCTCCCTCCTCATCTTGAAACTCCCACCCCCAGCTCCAGTCACTGCGTCCTAACATCCAAGCTCTCCGCCTGTCGTGCAAGGCCTCTGTGCTATTTCTTTGCAAACCCTGCAGCTCTATCGCCTGCCACTCCCCATGCCCTCCCCACCCCTGCGCTCTATGTTCTAGACACACGGAAATGCTGGGCTCTCTTCAACATCCTGACAGTATTCATAGGGGACCTTTCGGGTCGCCCTAGGAAACTGCCACTCATCGTCCAATGCCCCTTTCGGCCTCCTCTGGGAAGCCTTCCTGAACCCCTTGGGAAAAGTTAGGCTCATCTTTTCCATTGTTAAATCACACGCTGTGATCCAATTGTGTGTTTCCATGTAATCTCCCTCACTAGACTGGAAGCTGGGGATGGAAAGGGGAAGCATCAAAAAAACATTCAAAACTAGGAGCCTGGCTTCTCCTTGCAACTTTACTTTTTCTTTTTTTCTAGGAACTGAGTTCACTGATTCTTAAGAAAAAGTATTTCATGATAAATGAGTGAACAAATGTCTTAATAGAAAAGTAAAATTGCAGGCGAGGCTGCTCTAGAGGGGTAGACTACAAGTCCCAGCATGCCTCGGGTCAGCATCTCTTCACGTCACGCCCCCTCCCTGGGGGTGGGCAGGTCCGGAGGGCGGGGCCCAGGGGGCAACTGGGCTCCCAGGCGCTGCCGGAGGAGAGAAATGCCCCTGGCTCTCCCGGGCGCAGAAAGCGCAGGCGCAGCGGGTTGGGTGGCAGCAGCATCGAGTAGCGGCCGGTTTGGCAGCAACATCCGCAACAGGTGTAGACAAGGTGGGTGCATCAAGGGGAGGGCTGGAAAAGGAGTCTGCACCTGGCCCTCTTGTCTGATCTGTGTCAAGACCGTGGAGACGGGAGGGAGTGGCAAGAGGACAAGGCCGGGCCTTCCAGCCCAGGTGTGCCAGCCCTTGTTACGCAGCAACAGGTGTGAGCAGGTGGGGGAGGGGCGGAGGCACCCGCTGGCAAGTGAGTCGCCCTCAGGAACAGAAGGCACCTACCTGGATTCCAGTGCAAGCTCCATCGCATAAATGGATGAGTCATTTGCGGACCCTCAGTTTGTCCATCTGTAATATAGGAGTAAAGATTCCCTTCCTAACAGGGTTATAATGGGGACAAGGGGAGGGAGTAGTATGTTCGGTGACGTCCAAACTTAGCTGTACATTGGAATCATCTGAGGATCTTTGAAGAGTACCAGGGCTTGCCTCCTGCCCTCAGACATTCTGATTTAATTGTTACGGAGTGTGGCCTGGCATCGGAAGTTCTCAAAGCTCCTGCTGGCATAACGGTTTGAAGCCAGGACTGCTGGGTGTGAGTCTGGGCTCCACTGCTTACTGATCAAGTGGCCCCGTGCAACTGACTGGACCTCTCCAGCCCCCGTTTCCCCATCTCTGAAATAGGAATAATAAGGACTGCAGGGAGGCTTAAATGAGATAATGGATGAAAGCACTGAGAGGGGGTACCCAGACAGAGTGCTCGGTCCATCACAGCTGCTGTTGAACTCCTCTGTTAAGCACTTTGTAAACAGCTCTAGTGGGGTCCAAATGGGAGGGAGCCTTTCCATTGCCATGATTCTAATATTCTGCACTTCCACATTACAGAATCCCAAGGTTTCTAATACTTTAAGAGTCTCATGCTCCACTGGCTGAGCTAGCCAGCTCCTCCCTCCAGCTTCTGCCTGCCTCGCAGACGCACTTCTACAGATTTAGAAACAGACCAGGACAGAGGGCGGGGGAGGAGGGATGTGGCCAAAGTTATGAAGCTGAGGCTGGAATCCAGGCTCCTGGTCCCCACCCCCAACCCCACACCAACGGCTGCCCTGCTGACCCCACAGTGACAGTGCTCCCATTCTCTTCCTAAGCAGAGAATGGGGAGGAGGCCGAGGCTGCCTGGCCCTTGTTTGTTTACTAACCCTCCCTCAAACATTTCCTGGGTGGCTCCCCGGGGACGGCAGGGCTGGGGGCTTCTCTCCAGGGAGCTGCTGCTGAGGCCTGTGTCTCCTGTGGCTCCTCTGACAGATCCCGCCTGACTCCGCCCTGGAAAGTCCTTTTGAAGAAATGGCCCTGGTGAGGGGCGGCTGGCTGTGGAGACAGAGTGAGTGATCCTGGGCCCCTGGTCCTGGGGCAGGGTAAGGGAAGTGGCTTACTGGGCTTGCCACAGGGAACCCTTCTCCCAAGGAGCCAGGACCTTTTCATCCTTCCCTTGTTTGTCCACGCTCTTCCCTCTGCCTGAAGGTCCTTCCCATTCCCGACTACATGGTTTAAACTTCTACTTGTTCCTCACGACCCATCTCAGATGGGCCTCTGTCTGAGGAGACTTCTCTGGCTTTTCCTCTGGCCCCCACCCCTGCCCCTGTGATAGCGTCAAGCTGGATTAGAGGCTCCTTCCTTGGTTTTCACGGCGTCTTACAGTGATCTCCTTAGAACAGAACTGTCTTTATCTGTGGGTCTCCCCACTCCCTGACCCCAGACTGGTCCCAGTCTGTGAGCTCCTCAAGGACAGGGGGCTGGGTTTGACCCTCTGTGTATCCACAGTCCCCTAACTCCAGGGGGGCTGGGTTTGACCCTCTGTGTGTCCACAGTCCCCCAGCCCTGGGCTGGACACAGAATGAGGTACAGAACAAAGTGAAAAATGAGAGAGAGAGAGAGAAGATAGAGGCTCAAGGTAGGGAGAGGTCTTTGCCCTTGAAGAGACCTGGGACGTGGCCTTAGCAGCTTCCAAGTAATGGGCCCAGTCACTCATTTCCCTGTTCAGCACATGTATGACTCGAGCTTCTACTATGCGTCAGACCCAATGGGAGGCAGGAGGTGAACAAGACAGAGAGAAGACAGAAAGAGGTCCTGCCCTCATTTCAGGGGGTAGATAGACAAGAAAAAGGTGGTTATAACACTAGGGACTGAGGCTGAGGGGACTTGGGAGTCTGTCTGGGGCTCCTATCCCCAGCAGGCTCTGGGATCGGCCTGCCTAGTGCATCTGGAATATTGTACAGGCTCCATCCTCCGCCGCTGGAAGCGGAACTGGTTTGCCCTGTGGCTGGACGGGACCCTGGGATACTACCACGATGAGACAGCTCAGGACGAGGAGGACCGTGTGCTCATCCACTTCAATGTCCGTGACATAAAGATCGGCCAAGAGTGCCATGGTGAGCAGAAGCCCCTTCCTCTGTGGCACCGTGACTGTGGGCAGAGCCCTCCCACTGTCTCTGAGAACACCTGCTGTTGGAAGCCTCTTTGCAGCTTTCAGAGGCATTTCACAGACATTGCTTCTGAGCCTCTGTGAACTCCAATTCAGTTTGGTGTGAGTTAAGAAATAGGTCCTTGGCTGTGTGTGGTGGCTCATGCCTATAATTTCAGCACTTTGGGTGGCTGAAGTGGGAGGATCACTTGAGGCCAGGAGTTCTAGACCAGCCCGGGCAACATAGTGAGACCCTGTCTCTAAAAAAAAAAAAAAAAAATTGGTGAGATGTGGTCGCATATGGCTACTGGGGAGGCCGAGGCAGGAGAATTTCTTGAGCCCAGGAATTCAAGGCTGCAGTTAGCTATGATCCCAGTACTTTGAGAGGCCAAGGCATGTAGATTACTTGAGTCTAGAGTTCAAGACCAGCCTGGGCAACATGGCAAAACCCCGTCTCTACCAAAACAAAAACAAACAAAAATTAGCCAGGTGTGGTAGTGTGTGCCTGTAGTCCCAGCTACTTAAGAGGCTCACGTGGGAGGATTGCTTGAGCCTAGGAGGCAGAGGTTGCAGAGTGTTTATGGCACTGTACTACAGCCTGGGGGACAGAGCTAGACCCTGTCTCAAAAAAAAAAAAAAAGAAAAAGAAAAAGAAAGAAAAGGAAATCAGTCCTTTAGTGCCTTTCTCCTCTGTGCTGTGTCTCAGAGGTGAGCCAGGCACAGTTCCTGCCCTCCAGGCGCTCGGTACTGGATGAAGATGAAATGAAATTAGGAGGCCCAGAGAAGCGAAGTGGCCCAGGGTCATAGCAAATCTCCACATTCCTCCACCAAGGCCCAGGCCACAGTTCTAACTGGGTAACTGGGAGGCGTGCTGAGGGAAGCGTCAGCATGGAAAGGTTGGAAAGGTTAGAAGCGTAGAGTAGAATCCCTCAGAGGGTATATGGGATCAGAGGAGGTTGGCAGTGGCCAGTAAACAGAGCCCAAAGAAGTCAATTTCTATTCCTATTCCTGGTTTACTGGGGGGACCCGGGGCTTGCGCCTGTGGAAACCCATATTTGTCTGCTTCCAGATGTGCAGCCCCCAGAGGGCCGGAGCCGAGATGGCCTGCTAACTGTGAACCTACGGGAAGGCGGCCGCCTGCACCTCTGTGCGGAGACCAGGGATGATGCCCTGTGAGTCACTCTCAGGAGAGGATGGGGTGGAATCTTGGGGAAAGTTACCACGTGCCCCCTTCTCATTGGGCCTTCTGGTTCTCTGACCGTAGGAAGAGGGCACTAAGGCCAGTCAGCAAGGGTATCTCATTGGAGGTGGGTAGAGTGGATTTGAAGGGCCCATGGTGACTGGCCTGGCACACAGTGAACTCCATGTGGTCTACGGTGAACTCAGGATTGCTGAGGGGAAGGTGTGCACACCTGCCTCGGGTGTCTGGTTCCTGGTCTTTAGCAGCCTCTGAGGTGAGCCCTCACCTGAGGGTGATGCAAAGCAGCAGAGCAGCCTAGTGGCACCCTTGCTGTCTTCTTAGAAGATGCCCTGGTGGGGGACTCTGGTCTGAGGGGTAGCCCCCGACCTGCCTACAAAGGCAGTCAGCTGCGTCCCAGGCAGGGGCACCCCAATGTCAGATGCATATCCATGCGGCCAGCCTGGGTGTGTCCTCCGCAGGCACCATCCGCTCGCTCACATTCCGTCCCTTCCTACCCTCTGGCTGAGGGGTGCATGGCCTTTGCGCTGGAGGAGAGTGAAAGAGATGGGTGTGTGGGAGTGGGGGAAGCTGAGCTCCAGGCAGACAGCACAGAGCCGCCTTGTCCAACCCAGCCAGGTGCCATGGCAACCAACAAAGGCCCAATTGTCCCGTGTCTGCTGGGCCTTCCTGGAGCTCTGGGGTCAGAGCTTTGGGGAATTGTTTTGTTTGTAGATTTGGGATGTGGAGGGGGGCTGTGGCTAGAGCACCCACCCAGGAGTGTCAGATTCTGACATCCCCTGAGAGACCACCCAAGCCCAACCATCCACTGTATAGATGAGGAAACTGGAACTTCTAGAGGGGATGAGAAGAATGAATTAGCCTAACTTAGTGCTCCATCCATGTGACTGGGCAGGGGAGGGGTCACTTTTGTCTTCCTGAGGGAGACAAGAGATCTCTCCTTTCATGAGAGACTGGGGCTGGGTTGGAGAGGAGAGTCTAAAATGTGGGAGCCCAATTCACCTACCCCCAAACTCCCTCCTCATGGTCTGGTGGGATTTGCTTTGCAGAGCATGGAAGACAGCGCTGCTGGAGGCAAACTCCACCCCGGTGAGTTCCCTGTTCTCTCCCCCTTTCCCCACCACCTCCGTGTGCCATGGAATCATGAGTGATTCAGACTCGGTCTCCACCTACCAGAAGTTCTCAGTCTCATGTGGATAGGTTTGTGCAAACTCTGATGCCTGAGTCCCAAGTGGGAAAGGATAAGGGACAGCCAACTGGTGCTCAGAGGAGAGAGAGAAGCCTCCATGGAGACTTGCTGGAGGGAGTGGCACGTGAGATGGGGAAAAGGAACTGTCTTTTATCGAGCAACTATTATGTGTCAGGTGTGGTGCAGGTATCATTCCACCTGCTCCTCACAACAGTCCTGTGAGGTTGGGGTTATTGTTCTGTCTCTGTAGATGATAAGACTGAAGCTCATTCATCCACACAACAAATATTTACTGAGCTGCTACTATGGGCCAGGCGCTGTGTCAAGTGCCAGGGATCAGAGGTGAACCAAGGAGATGTGGGCTCTGCCCACCTGGACTCAGCCTAGTGAGGAGCCAGACATGGAACAACTAATTAATTATGCCATTTCAACAGCATAACGGCTCTGACAGAGATTTGCAGCGTCTGGCCCTTTCATCCAGGTGGTAGTTCAGGCAAGGCTTAAACCGAGAACTGAAGGATAAACAGAAATTGACTGGGTGAAAGGCGTGGGGAAGGGGTAAAGGGAACAGTATTCCAGGCAAAGGGATCAGCATGTGCAAATGCTCTGAGAGAGGTTAGGACGTTGGCAAGTTGAGTAGGAGGACAGCTGGGGTGGCTGGTGCTTAGGGAGTGAGTAGGTAAGGGGGGAAGGAGGGTTGGCACGACCAGGCCTTGTGGGCTGTATGAAGGATTGGTTTCTGCTAAGAGCACCAGGGAGCCATGACAAGTGTTTGAACAGAGGGATGGCATGATCAGATCAGGCTCGATTTATATTTTTAAAAAGATAATTGTTGTAACGTTGGGGCATTAAAAAAAACAAAACAAAACAAAAAGGTAGTCTGTCAGTTACTGAAATTTTATTATAGAGAAAAGGAAAAAAAAGATAATCTGGCTGGTAGGTACGGAATGGATTGTAGAGGGTAACTGTAGACACCCAGAGGCCACTTAGGAGGCTGGGACAGTGTCCCAGCAACAGACTGGAGATCTGGACTAAGGCCTTGCTGGCCAGACAGGCTGATGAGTACAGGATGTATTTAGGATTTGGAGTCAACAGAGCTTGTGACTGATGGAAGTGGCAGTTTGAAGAGCCGCCCAAGGCCCAGCTTGGCCTCCACCCCCATCTGCCTGACTCCAGAATCTGTGCTTGCTCTTTCTCTGTGTGGCACAATGGAGCCCCCTCTCACCTACAGAGAAAGTCCATTGGGAAGTAGCAGGGGAGACCTGGATGCATTTAGAAACCTCCTCAGGCATCCACCTGCTGAGCGCCAGGCATTATGCTAAGCCCCTGGCACCAGTGACATCATTTCATCTTCCAATAACCCTGGCAGGGCAGCTGGGTAGGGATTGGCATTATCAGTCCCATTTTACAGATAAGGAAGCCAAGGTTCAGAGACGGGAGGTGACTTGTCCAAAGCTTATAGTCTTAAGTCAGTGGAAAAGCCTATCATGGAAGGAGGACATTATCTGCAGAAGTAACTGCATGAGCAGAGACAGAGAAGTGGTGTGTGCATGTGTGAGTGCACAAGTGCGTGTGCACATACGTGTGCATCTAAGGGCCCAGAGTCTGCCTGGCTGGAGAGCAATTCATGAGGGGAATGAAACAGGAGAGATGATTTCTGAGGTCACCAGGGCCAGCTCATGATGGCCCTCAAAGTCCAGTTGGAGGAAATGGACTTTCCCTGAGGCCTGTAGGGGAGCAATAAAGGGCATTCAACAGGGAGGGCTGTGGTCAGATTTTTGGGGGCAGACTCAGGCTCCCAAGTGGCAGGTGAATTGGAGGAAGCTGGGAGTAAGGAGGCTACCGCAGTAGTCTGCAGGGTGGAGGGACCCAGGTCGGGCTCCCCTGGCTTGGAGCTCCGAAGCCTCTTTATGTAGGGCGAATCAGTTCCACCACAGAGAGGCGAAGGGAAGGAAGCAAAGGCGACCGTCTGCACTCTGTGACTCTATGAAGCGGCCTCGCTCTTCTCTGCCTGTCCATCTCCTGTGGCTCTGCTGTCCCTTCTCTCTGCCCTGGCCTCTATTCTACCTCCCACTACTGCACATATACACATCCCTCTGGGCCCGGGCTAATTTGAGTCGGGTGTGTTTGTGCCTGTGTCTGCCTGTTTCTGTGTGTTCACCTCTGTGTTTATGGGTTTCTCTCTGTAGCCTGTGTGGGAATGACCTGCCCTTTGTCCTCCGACATGCTGGAGTTCATACCTCACTCCAGGTGGAGGTTCCAGGAGCCCCTAACACCAGCTTTACTGGGAACACAGGGCCTGGGGGCACAGCTAGGGACGAGGCTGGGGTAAAGCGAACCAGGTAGGCTACAGGATAGATGGGAGTTGCCCTGTCCTCCCTGGAGACTGGGAGCCCCAGCAGCATGAAATAGGGGAAGGTGGGCTAATTCTGGAAAGAGACTACTTGTCCTTCTTTTCTGCGTAACTTTGGCAGTCGTCAGCCTTCTCTGAGCCTCCCCTGTTACCATGAGCTGAGGAGAAAGAGGACGCTCCCTGCCACAACCCAGCTGGCGGAGGGCTCTGGTAGGGTCTGGAAAGAGCTCTGAGTGTCTTTAGGCGTAGAGGGCCTCTGACACCCCCTTCCTCCCTCCCCCTTCTTGGGTTTCTGTGGCTTGAGCAGGCCCCAGCTGGAGCAACCGTCCCTCCCAGGAGCCGCCGGGTTTGCTCCAAGGTCAGGTGTGTGACCCGCTTGTGGAGCCCCTGTAAGGTTGAGAGGCGGATCTGGGTAAGTGCTGGCTCAGCCCTCCCTGCCTCCATACTGGCCACCAGGATGAGCCTCCAAAACCAGGCCCAGTCCATCCCTTCCCTGTGACAAACATTCCATGGCTCCCTATCACCCACGGGACAAAAACCAACGGCTCTGCTGTACCCTCTGCCCCCAGCCACATCAGACCTTTCCCCTCTGCCAGCCTTCGCACATGCTGTTCCCGCTGCTGGCGAGACTGCAGTTTCCTCGTTCACCGGACAGACTGACACCCGTCCTGTAAGGCTCACCTCAGAGGCTGCCTGCCACCTGCTCGGTGGGGACCTCCTAGACCACCAGCCATCGTCATTCCCTCCCACAGCCTAGTGGCACTAAGGCTTAGTGCTTTCTTCATTCTGCCTGGTTTCAGAACTGGTTTATTCTGGTCTGTGTCGTCTTCCATGAGGCCTAGAACTTCCTCCAAGGCAAGGACAAGGCCTGACTGCGCTGCCTCTATGGAGCTTGGCACAAGGCTAGGCAAATGGCACATGCTCACTTAGTGCTCAGTGATGGGGAGTCTGTGCTGACCCTTCTCACACAGTGGGGCTCAGGGAATGTTCACTGAGTGAGCAAAGGAAGGAAGGAGGGAGTGAAAAACCTCTGTTATAGCAATACTACTACATAGTCAAATAATTTAGTCTAGATCTGTCTCCCCTCAACCTGAATGTTTCTTGAAGGCAGGATCTGAACCTGAATCTTTTCTCTGTCCCCAGTGCTCAGCACAGGGCCTGGCATGGGGTGGGTGGCGGGAGGGGTCTTGAGTGAGAGTACCTGTGATCTTACAGTCAACTCTGAGCTCTTCTTACACAGTGGTGCTCAGTGTGGCTATGTGTCAGGATTGCTTAGGAACTTACAAGCACTAACAACAAGTTCTACCTCTGGATGTTCTAATCTGGCATGGGGCCTAGGCCTAGGAAACCTGTAGTTTAAACCTGTCTCCTGGCCAGGCCTGGTGGCTGACGCCTGTGATCCCAGCATTTTGAGGCTAAGGTGGGCGGATCTCTTGAGGTCAGGAGTTCGAGACCAGCCTAGCCAACATGGTGAAATTCTGTCTCTACTAAAAGTACAAAAATTAGCAAGATGTGGTGGTGGGTGCCTGTAATCCCAGATACTCGGGAGGCTGAGGCAGGAGAATGGCTTGAACTCAAGAGGTGGAGGTGGTTGCAGTGAGCCAAGATTGCCCCACTGCACCACTGCACTCCAGCCTGGGCAACAAAGCAAGACTCCATCTCAAAAAAAAAAAAAAAAAAAAGTCTCCTGATGACTCTGATATGCAGAATCACTAAGCCTAGAAGTGCTTGGGCCACCAAGTTGTATAGATGTGGCACTGTTAGATCCTCAGAGGCTTGGAGAGGTTACCTAACTTGATCAAGATCACTCAACTCATCCAGTGTCAGGTCTGGGACTCCCAGCCCATCGTTCTGAGGTATTCTCCATGCCCAAACTAGAATACAAGTTTGTTTAAAGTGGGGAAGCCAAAAACTAGGATTTAACAGACTGTAAACCTAATAACACAACAGCTCGGCTAAGGGGAGTCATTTGCATGCGACCCCCTGATTGGTCAACACTGGTTGTACCCACAAAGTAGCTGGGCCTCTGGAGAGGGAGAGGCAGGTTCAAACCCTCAGGTTCTGCCCATGGGTCTCTGGGCTGTCCCTACTTGTTGCCAGGTGACTTACAGGAGTTTACTTCTGGGCCTCCCAGACCTGGAGAGTAAAAACAGGTGCCCTAGAGGGACATGGGGTGTTCCACCCTCTCCAGGGCCTCCCAAGGCCACTGGCTTACTGCGTAGCAGCAGGGCAAGGTGGAGGCTCTAGATCTCAACTTCCCCACCAATAAAATTGGACCTGAGTGCTTAAATCCCTCTAGCCCCTTTTGGGCCTGGAGCCCGGATTCTGGCACTGCCTACCAGAAATCTGTATTGGATCACTGATGGGGAGGGAGCACCGGAGAGTTCACTGACCTACAGCATTGCTCGTCTGAGCCTCTTGCATTTTCTTGGGACTATTTGTTTTCCCTGACTTGAAACTGAACTCAGAGTTGGGCAACCTTAGTTCCAATCTGGCCCT